TATATATATATATCGTTACTGTGAAAAAAATTACTCATATCACAATATAAGAATTTGGTCATCTCACCAACCCCTGATGATGATGATGATGATGATAGATGAAAGTGTGTGGTCCTGGCCTTTCCTATGTTATGGGAACTAAATGTACCCACAAGGATAATAATGCCAGTAAATTTTGACCTTGTGGGGACTTTTTTTAAGCAACTGTTTTTTTATATTGATAATAATAAGACATTTTGGTATTAATAATAAGAAGAAATATTTCTTGAGCAGAAAATCAGCATATTTGAATGATTTCTGAAGGACCATGTGACACTGATGACTGATTTCATAGTTGATAATTGATTTTATAGGAAAAGGGGTCCCTTGCAAGGAAATCATCATATTTGGGGGTCCATGGCAAACTATTGAAACCCCTGGCCTGGTGTAGAAGCTGATGAGTTTTAAAGCCTTTATTATTATTCAGTATTTTGCTGTATTAGGGTTTTTTTTCTTCAGTGCAGATGGGTTCTGCTCACACGGGGCAATGAATTAAAGAATCAGAGCTGCATAAGTGAAGTGATGGAGCAAAGAGGCTTGGGTGTGTACAACCACACAATAAAGAAACAACAGAGGCAGTGGATCAAGAGAAGAGAGAAGAGAGAAGAGGACGACGTGGGTGTGGGGTGGGATGTAAAGACATGGAACAAGATGTAAACAGATCTGAGGATTTCTGCTGATGAAGGTGACGTTGTGTTTTATGATGTTGTGAAAGAGATGACACTTTCAGTGTCCAGGAAAATTAATTTTTAAGTGGAGACATTTGCCAGTTTGTAGACCATGTATTAAATCATAAATTAAATAAATGATCTGTGGAGCATGTGGACGGAAATAAGTATAGTGTTTCACTACAGTTTTTATACTTCATTTTATAGCTACTTGACGTTAAAAAATGGGAAATTAGATCTTACATTAAATATGTGTATGTAACCCTTTTGTAACACTTTTTGGTACTAATCTTTTTTCAGTGAATATAGACACTGACAACATCTAAAAATGTACTGATTTTTTAAAAATGATTTAATAAAATTGTATAACTAATTTGCAGTGTATTTATATTATAAATATTTTAGAATATTTACATTTTACTTACTATTATGTATATATATTTTATGTCAAGATAGTCATATCTCAGTGCTTTCTAAATGTGTAAATGTAAATAAAAAGGAGTCAGCTGAACATTGTGTGTTTTGAACCTTGCATCTGAGAGTTCTTCTGGCGCCGTGGTTCTCACTGTTCTTTTGTGTCAGAGTTGAACCCGCCGTGCTCCTCCAGGTCTCGTTACCTGTCCTGTCTCCCAGGTTACACCCGCATAATTGCTGCTGTTGACTGCAGTTCTGTCTCTTGATAATTATTTTGCTTTGGTGACTTACTGTCCCTGAAGGGTTAGGCTAGAGGTGACATCATGTCACTTGCTGTATATATCTCAGATTGGGTGAGAGAGCAAAGTGACAAACCTGTCACAGGCTGATGTAATTAAAAGCACTGCTTCATGTATATGCACTGCTGAGAACAGAACAAGGTTTCAAATTGAATTAAACACTGGATATTTATAGATGAAAGGGGATCAAATTGACAATAATAATAATTAATTAATAAATAAATATTTAAACCATCCTAATATTAAAGATTATTGCAAAGTAATTAGCATTTTTCATATTAAAAATTAATACTACAAAATAACAATAACAAATTATTAAAAAGCATTTTTGGTTTTGGTTTCTTTTTCGGTTTTCGGTTTTCGGCCAAGTGCATCTAGCATTTTCGGTTTTCGTTTTTGCCCAGAATTTTCATTTCGGTGCATCCCAAATGCTTGTAGTATGAAGGTTTAATTTCTGAAGGTTTTTTTTCAGTAAGCATAATATTTATGTATGAGCTCATAAAGGGGATGAAAATTTATCCATTACCTATGAAATTTTGGCTGTCCATGGTGTATTTTTTATTAATAATATTTAATTTAGAATTAAATTCACTTAATCATGTGATTTATTTTTTATTATTTGTGACTGTCAGTTTTATATTTTCTGTTTAATAAAATCTAAAAGTTTTATATTTGTAAAAGTGTTGATATATTTGCTATTGGATTTTGCCCTATTTTTAAAGATCATTTCATACATTCTCTACCAGTCAGAAGTTTGGACACACCTGAATGCATGAACAACATGCCTGCAAGTATCATAGCTAAATATTTTGCAAAAGTTGCCAGATAATTACAATTTCTCACGTGTCAGTTAGTTCTTAGATTTAGGATAGATTTTCCTTTTTTTCTTTTTCTTTTTTTTTTGTGAACCAAACATTTATTTGTATTTATTTAAACAAAATTACTTTTTTTTTTTTAATGACTTTGTTATCCTGGAAATAGAGGTAAAAACATGATACCACTTCTTTGTAGAAAACTATTAAAACCAAAACTAATCCAGTTTTGACTTATTTTATTTGTGTATTTTGACTGTAGAATATATAGTATTTGTATTTTGCATCCTAAGGTAGACACTTTCAAATCATTTTTTTTCTTTTCCCTTCCCAGTATTTTATTGCATAACAACACGCCAGTAACAGTTCTGATACAAATTACAAGTTACCAAATAATCTTTGTGCATGTATGTGTGTAACACTCAGTGGTGTCCTGCTGCTGATTGAGACCGTGCAATTAGCTTCCTACGTAGTGTGGGTGGTTAAATCCAGCCACTGCACCCCCTCCGTCTGCATCACTCTGATTTTGTGAGAGGTTTTATCAGCTTTATTGCATGAGTACCATTTCCACAGCCTATCAGCTTGAGCCATATGGGCTTTGTCTTTGTAGCGCTCTCACTGTCATTTTTACTGTAGGTGTTTTTAGACAGCTAAGTGGGTCTGTAGTGAAAACAATTATATGGAGATGCTCTCTCGCTCAGCGAGCTGTTTTTGGTTGTCTTCCAATAGTCGGCTGAGATATTTGGCTATCTACCCTTCAGACTAGTTGGCCCCAGAATTCCACTCTTATTGTCTGTGTAGGGTTGCTTCGACTGTCTCGCTTTCTCTGGTGTGTCGTTACAGTGAGTTATAGTTCCTTTTGGAGCCCAACCGAATGCATTGTCTGGCTGATATTTACTCCAGTGTACAGTCACAAACATCATAACTTTTTCCATGTCAACTGGCTGCACCAAACAGGAGGTTTGTGAAGTCTGAATGGTACACTGTAGCGTAATTGCTGGGACGACTGAGGCTTTTGTGGCTTTGTGTCTAATAGCACTACAGAGATAGTATGGCAATTTAGAAAAAGAGAAGATTGCCAGTATTGTTATGTTTAAATACAAAATATTTAATGTTTATGTAGTGTGTTGAAAATACTTTACCTAATTATGTGTTCTCAGGACAAAAATGACTGGCCTTTTAATAATTGCTTGTAAATCTCTCATTATGCTTTCATTATCACCAAATCTTTCCAGTTAGCACAGGTTTTATATTTTTTATTCAGTTCTAAAAAGAAATCCAGTCTGAATCCAGTACATAGTGATAATATAGCTGAGATGTACAAGCATTTTTGGTAGGGCGGTCATTTTTGACATTGAGCATTACAAGTGTAACATAGTGAGAATAAAATCCCCCAAAAAAGTACAAAATTGTCAACATTTTTTAGGAACTTGTTATACCCTGTGTGAACGAAGTCAGTAAGTTTTATTCCATGCTATTTCAGGAAAAAAAAATCCTCTCCATTCAAAATGACCGGAACACAACATAAGGGTTATTTTTGTTTTCTTTGAGCACAAAAATTGTTCTCATACATTAAACCACTGATGTCACATGGATTATTTTAATGATGTCCTTACTACCTTTCTGGGCTTTGAAAATAGTAGTTCCGTTGCGGTCTATGCAGGGTCATAAAGCTCTCGGATTTCATTAATAATATCTTAATTTGTGTTCTGAATATGAACGACATGAGGTTGAGTAAGTCATGACAGAATTTCCATTTTTGGGTGAACTATCCCTAAAGCCTTATATAAATCCCAATGTTTACTTCACCCTAAACCAATGTGCTCAGTGAAGTAAAATGTTTCTTAAGTGACAGAGTTTTCTGTCGTCTTCACGTGACAAAGCCCTTCTGAGTCACATAATTTTGGCACCATGATGAACTGACGAGTGTGGAAATCAGAGAGATACTTGAGACTGATATGAGGGTCCCGGCGCAGATGTGAAGATGCGCCTCTAGAACATGTGTGGAATCCTGATTGAAAACGGTGCTGAGCAACTCTATAAATCGGTGGTTCTCAGTCCTGGTCCTGAAGCTGCTCTAATGCTGATTTCATTTAAAATTATATTTACATAAATTCATTAAAAAATAAATTAAATTAAAAAATACATTTTAAGGAAATGTATATTTAACAAAGCAAAATGTACAACACAAACTGTTTTTTTTTTTTTATAATTACAAATTATAAATCACCTCAGATGTATATATGTTTCCAGAATTCTGGGCAAAACGTCATTTGTTATCACACAGGTACATTGGACTATTTTTGCTTTATTCTATGTTATTTCGTTTGTTTATATCATTATTTTATTGTCAATGTATGTTGCTTTTTCACTGTACCATCTGTTGTTGTTACTGTATTTTACGGTAACATACCAATTTTAACAGCTCAAATAGATTAGCACATTAACACTATATGAATTAATGACATACTTATACAGTTATGAACTGTAAAACATGCATGCCCAAAATGCCATACCATAATATTGTTTCTAACCGTAGGAGGTAGGTTACCTTTTTTACATGTAAGTCACAAATCAATGCTGGACATGGATCATATATGTAAAGATTCTCATTTACAGACCACAATCTAAATAAACCTGCACGCGAACACGCGAACACTGCACCGCATGGAGGGGAGAGGACAGGACAGTCTGCACACAAACTCTGTTCATCTTTGTCAAGGACAATTCATTTAAACGGATGAGCTCAGACAAGTCGGCTGGCTGTTTCCACTCGCCGGGGTTTGCGCCGGAGCTTCTGATTGGCTGATTGTATTATTGTATGCAAATCTTGACGGGGTTGCAGCCAGTAGGTGAAAGGCTCGCGCTGGTGTGGCTCTCGAGACCCGGAGCGCGAGGTGAAGCCGCTTTCCGCGGAGCTGTCCACTCCACGGGTGCTGAAACGAGGATTTCACGTCAACCGACTGTTGGAGGCTGTACAGCTTAACCAAAACGGGATTGGATTTACTTCGCGCCAGTTAACAGTGTTGTTCCAAAAGTAATTCTCGTATTTTAAAAACCACACTCGGAAATACCTTTCTGGATGAGTTGTAGTTGGACAAACAGGTATGTTTTTCTTCTCTATGATGCCTGGTGTGATTTTAGATCAAACCTCAGGTCCGTGGATCCAGCACGGATGAATTTCAGTGTGATTTAAACGCGTTCACTATATTATCTGTGCTGGCTTTTGTACTGATGTGCCGTTTTTCATATGGATCAAATGGAGGCAATGAAAGCACTTTCGCGGTAGAATGTGAATAATTTAGCATTTTCTGCAGTGACATTCAGCGTAGCTTGCACAACTGACTGAAGCCCGGTAGCCGTGCTTGATGGAGGGTGGTGAAGTTAGACGAGCTTTTCCCATCCGCCGTACCGGGGACAAGTTCACTCTTCGGCCGCCCCGATGTAATGGTGCTGCGATATCAAACGGTGCTGCGATATTCCTCGAATGAACAAAGTAAACGTTAAGCAAACGTACGGGACCCTGAGCAAAGCTCGTGGCCGTTTAATTTAGCTGCAGGGTACTTAGCAAGTTGTTTTTCTTGGCACGCAAATCCTTGAGTGACACAGTGCGCACCCGTCTTGTTTTCCTCGTCCAGATTCAATCTGGCGGGTGTGTATGGCGATCTCTGGTAATTGACGTGGCTGGCTGAAGACGGGCGACAAATTGGTGTCTGTAGTGCAATTATAGGGAGCCGTTCTCATAGAACGTGTTCTTCCGTTCAAAAACAGCTCGAAGGAGCGCGAGGCAGAAGAAAATACGCGTTTTACGTAGTTTAACTGATCGTTGAATCGCAACCCCGCTGTCAAGTTACAACAAATACGGATTTTTAACGTAGGTGTGCATAAAGTGGCTGTTAGAAAATAGAGAATCCTGAATACGAGAACGCCTCCTATGTGAACAGCTCCAACGCTTTAACCCGTGCAAGCTGTTCCATATATGACCGTGCTGCTATATTTCTACTAATAAATCGGTATATGATCATTTTTATAGTTTCTAATGGCCATTAACAGTCAGCAACATGCAGATCATTTTATTTATTCACTTTAAGGTATTCCAAGAAACTTTTTAGAAATGAGTTAATGCAGAATCATTGAAGATACAGATTGTTGTTCAGATTGATTTAGCACTCAGATTGAATTAGAAGCATTCTATCTAGTAATAATTTGTGAATAAGGTGGCAACAGATGACAAAAAATAATTTAAAAAACATCGGAATGTGATGTCCATGGGTCTGAAAAGTTTATAAAAGATGTGTGCATCGCTGTAAGATTTTTTAATCTCGAAAATGCATGTTTCCTATTCTAAACTTATTTTTTTGTGTGTGTGGCCATAGATCAATGGCAGGCCTACTTGTCTTCTTCCCAGTTTCTGTTTGATAGGCTGTACACTGTAAAAAATAAGTGTAATTTTAACTGTAACATTTTGTAAAAACGCTACGGAAAAAAAATGTGAATAGGTTAACAGTAAGTTCCCGTACTATATAAAGGGAAAAACTGTAAAATATCTAACAAGACATTTAATGTAATTTTACAGTAAAATGCTGTTAATTTGACAGTTTTTAGAAGTAAAAATAACAAATCAATGTATAATTTACAGTCAAAAACTGTAAACTAATATTCCCAGAATTTCCTGCATGACACTCCACATTTGAAAGTATTTTGTTTAAATAATCATGTTTTTTTAATAGTTTTTGTTATTAGTTATGTATATCTGGGCTTTATGTTACATCTTCTGTTGTTTAATGAAAGTTTAATGCGTTATTTAAGTATAATGTGTGTTACCATGATGGTGTTTTGTGTTTGCATGAATGACTCTGTGCACCTTCTATATATTAGTATATACTTCTGCTTGTGGCGAAGCTACTTGTGATGAGCTTTGATTCTTCATGTGACTTTCTCTTTTACCGCCTGCATTATTATGGTGGTTGTCAATAAGTTAAAGGTACAAAACAGATTTTAATAGCAGTGCGCATTGTAGAATTTACTGGTTTTTGGCCGTAAATGTGTTTACAGTTTTTCTGTATTTTTTACAAAATTATTCTGGCAACCACAGCTGCCAAAATTATTTTGTAAAAACTACAGATTTTTTTTTACAGTGTAGGCCTTATTTCCAGCTATTGTATTAGGTTTATTACAGCAAGATTAGACGACAAAACCTCAAGAGACAGTATTGTAGTTGGTGCTTTGTTTTTTGTATGATATTTGAAGCCAAGTTTTCACAGTTTAGTCACATCCTCAAGCTCTCCTGTTTTTTATTGCCTGTTAGCTTAGCTTTTCAAGGAAATATATTCCTTGAATTCACAGCCAAGCATTGACATAGAATCTGCTTTTGTACGCTGTGTTTGGAGCCAGTGTTTTGTGTGCACTTGACTCAGTATCAAAAGGTATATGAGACTCGAAGTGAACAAAAGTGAAAGTTCAGATTTAAAAAAAACACATACAGAAAACAGTAAAAGCACAGAAAGGTGGGTGGAAATGCATCGTACCACCTGCTCAGTGTATGACTGATGAGGCTCATTGTTAATGTATGAGAACTCAGTAAGGGTCAGCTACTGTATGAGCTTCCATGCTCTTCTGCTCAAGTGAATCTGATACACGTCGAATTCTACATCAAATGAGTATACAGGTGCGATCCTGGAACTTTTTTCATGGTGCTCAGTAGCAAAGGATTTATTGAAGCCAAAGACTCTACAGGAACTCATACAGTGCAGAAAGTGAGAGGAACAAAAAACTATTGCTTCTCCCATTCACAGAGACAGGCAAACATGCATTCTCTCACATATAGACACAAAAGTAAAGCCTCTGACAAACACACATTAAAAAGCATTGAATAGGCCATTAAATATGCCTCCAGAGTAGATCGCACTCAAAAAAAAAAATCAGTAAGAGACCTTGCTGGAAAGATTGGGAAAAGATATACTCAATGGAAATATATCAATTTACATGTAGTGAAAGGGAAAATGTACTTCAAGCACATTTTCGGCAATGGATCTTCCTATAATGCAGAAGGAGACCGCATTATCCTTTCTCTTTCAGTAGCAAGACCTCACCCTGTCTCTTTTCTCCAACTCTCCACTTTTAGAGTTTCACCCAATTATTGTAAATTTTTCAGCAGCAGGAGGAGGAGCTGCTGTAATGCTGTGGTGTGCACTGATGTGAGAAATACTGCTCACAGTGGAAATATATGAAGGCACCATACGCATAAGCGGGGTTTAGCGTGTAAGATGCCAAACTACTTAAAGTGATCTTGTTTTTGTTTTGTTTTTAGAAATGAAAGGAATAGTTCTCCCAAAAATTTAAAAGTTGGTGAACATGTTCTCTCACTCAGGCAATCAAAGATGTAGATGAATTTGTTTCTTCATCAAAACAGATTTGGAGAAATTTAGAAATTATATAATTTGTTCACCAGTGGATCCTCTGCAGTGAATGGGTGCCGTCAGAATGAGAATCTAAGCAGTTGATAAAAACATCACAATAATCCACATGTTCGCTTCACAAGACATTAATTGATGGACTGGAGTAGTGTGGATTACTTGTGAATTATTGTGATGTTTTTATCAGCTGTTCGGACTCTCATTCTGATGGCACCCATTCACTGCAGAGATCCATTGTTGAGCAAATTATGTAATGCTAAATTTATCCAAATCTGTTTTGACAAACTCTACATCTTGAATGACCTGATGGTGAGATTGGACTGAGAGGCACATTTTGAGCAAATTTTCATTTTTGGATTAAATGTTATTCTAAAAATTGTAAATTCATTCTCATGCCAATCCAAACCTGATGACTTACTTTTGTCTGTGTAGTAAGGTTTATAGTGCCTTTCTTTGTCCATAAAATGAAAGTCAAATGTGTTGTCCTTTAAAATATTTTCTTTGTGTTTCACCATGAGGGTGAGCGAATGATGACAGGATTTTTATTTTTGGGTGAATCTCTTTAACAGCCTTTGCCAGTAATTGATCATTATATGAAGCATTAATCATTTCTTTTGCTTTGAAATCAGCCGCATTTTTCATTTCGATCATCACTATCCTCTTCATCATCAGCTACATTGTCAGCCACAACTGCATCTTCATCATCATCATCATCACCATTATTGTCTTCATGCTTTTCTCATTTTCCGCCTTCATCACAACTCATGGAATTGTTATTGTGTGCGCATAATAGTAGTCTGAGATTTGCAGTTGTTTACTGCGCTGAAAGGCACTGCACTCACATGATACAAAAAAAATGAAGAGGGGCAATACAAACACTCTAATTGCTTTCAATAATTAATCTCCTCAAACGACTGCCTCGCCTTTGCAACCTCGATGTGAATAGCATCACCCCGAGATACACATTCAAATAAGAACCAAGCATTATTTTCACATAATGCTGCTGAGATGGATATGCGAGCAAACTTTATTCCTGGTGTCTGTGGATTCCCCTGTCCATAGATATGTTCATCACAGACCTGAGTGAGTCCTACTGTTGCACTAATGAATCCTGACACTGCTCACAGATTGGACAGGTCAGTGCAATCCTCCGTGACCAGTGAATAACACAGTTCACTGGTCAGCGGACATAGAGCTATCTCATAGACCTGGCTCACAAAAGGCCTTTCTGACTTGTTTTCTGTATCAATCAGCCAGCATGAACTTTTGGGTTTAGAGCAACTTTGTGCTATTTCTGGCAAGTTTGGACAGGAGTTATGGAACCCAGTTTAATAGCTCATCACCATTAGTTCACCATTAATGTTGGTCAGCCTTCAACCCTAAAATGAATTGAGGGAGTCAATGGGGGTTTATTTATTTATTTATAAATTAAGTCCTTGATTATTCCATGACAAATCTTCCTAAAAAAAAAAAGAATCACACACACACACAGGTTTGTTTTTGTGAAAAGTGGGGAAATCCCATAGGCGTAATGGTTTTTATACTGTACAGACCTTACAGGAAACTTTGTGCTATTTCAGATTTTCAATACACTCCATTCTGTGTGATTTATAAGCGTTTTGAAAAGTGGGGACATGGGGTAATGTCCTGAAAAGTCACCTTCTCCTTGTAATACCTATGTCATACCTT